TACATATATGTATGTATATGCATGCATGCACGTATGCAGGCTCACGCATCCGCCTTGTTTGCACGAGTTCGTACACCGAGCGCATCAGGAAATTCCAGTTTCCGCGAGGAAAGTATTTTTCTTCGCCCCGGGCGACAGTTATTTCGAGTCCGCGACGAGTATCTTTCGCGGAAAAGTGTTTACCTCGACGTTAACCCTCTTCAACGTGTGCTCGTCGCCGCTACGCTGCGGTATTGGACGAGTGTCCCGGGGAGAACGTGCTTTTTTGAGGTATCCGAGATCCTTGACCTCTTGAAACACTTTTCTTGTTATTGTTGTCAGTAGTGATGGTAATTGTATTGGACGTTAATATTTTATTTATTGGTGGTTATTTGATGAAATTAGGAATCCAATAGTTGACAACTGTGGAGTTTAAGGTCTACAAGATGATTGTCCTCTTGAAACTCTTTTCTTTATTGTTACTGTTGTTGGTGCTTGTGGTAACTGTATTGGTGACGTTAATATTTTATTTATTGAACTTTAATCCCTTGCCATGCAACATCGAGTCACACTCGTAAACAAGTTCCCAAACGGAGGTCACGAAAATTAAATGTCACTGAATTATTCCATTTTTGTTGCTTTGAGTTTTTTCGAACTTCATGCTCGAACCACTCTCAGTCATTAGTGTTATTATTGATAATGGCAGAAGCGGTTATTGTGTTTGTCAACGTGGTCAATGCACCAACCCCTATCACGATACTGGAAAATTCTGATTAAGCTAAATGGCCAATTATTTGATCAACAATAATTACACGCTAGTAATTTCCCCTATGTCGAGCACGTCAGTTCGTTCGACTGAACGTTTTCCATAAACGATGTGTATTATTACCCGGATCATGTTCACTCGTTTGCTAAAAATACATGCATCATTCATCCCCTGTCACTTGATCACAGATTTTTATAGAAATTCATATATTCAAACACTGATTTACGAACGTTAAGAATTTTAAGCATTCATTTATTCATAGTACCGAACGCTCCAATTAAACAAAAATAATAGAAACGTACATTTAAACCTGGTCAGCAATATTCGTTAATTGTGTATCGAATTTTCAAATACATTTACACGATTACACCAAATGTATATTCTACCAAATGCTGCGTCGCAAAATTCAATCCACCTAATGCACACAAAATTATCATAATTACATATTAGGAATACCGAGATCAATAGGATAATTTTCCCTCCGACATTAAAGAAACAAAAATACTGAAACATTCGTAATAAAAAAATCTTTTAAAATGTTTCAATCCCTCTTCCCTAAACAAGAAACGAAAAGTGACAAATATAATTATCAATATAATAAAAACAAACAACTGATTCTCATTTCAAACTGATTAATTTCCATCTACTCCACATAGATCGCACAAAATCATATTTGACCACAAAATCACTGATCTCATTTGCACAAACAGAAACTAAATACCACAAACATTTCAAATTACGATTCCCCGTCCACTCCATCGCTCAATTAACAAAAATAAAACCAATCTAAACGCGTAACATTCCACGGAAGAAACTTTCAATCGATCCTCGAGTTTTCTCATTACCCAAAGATCCCATCATTATCACAATCCCTTAGCAAAACCAATTCTCAACAATAGCTCTAGGAAAAACGCATACCTCCCCCGTCTACGTCGACGCCACGCATCATTTTCGAGGGCCGTCCGTTATTCTCCGTTCCTCGGGATGAGGAGAGAATTCCGGACGGACGGGAAAAAGGACGAGGTAGGAGAAGAACGTGGATGGTAGGGCGAGGAGGACGGGACCGATCGCCGCAACGGTGGCACACATATCACCCGTTACGCGGCTGGCGGCTACAAAAGGATCGCCGGAACATTTTTCGCCGGCGCGTTCTGAAATCGATCGCGAAAAATGCCCGCAGAAAGGCGGCGAAAAATCTCGCGGCAACATTCTCGATTTCACGTTCGCAATTTTCCGGTTCGAAACTGGCGGCAACGAAAGGTGGGCTGGTGGGGGGCGGGAGGGGGTTGGAGCCGCGGCCCGTTATGCGTATAACCGCCGCCGGTATTCAGGGAACGTAGAAGCGTAATCAGAGTGCCAGCGGTGAAGGATCGTCCGGTTGAAAAATCACGAGCAAGAGAATAGACCTGGGGGACGTAAAATTCTGTGTGTGCGTGGCTGTGCAAGAGAGATGGTGACGCTAGTGTAGAGCGATGGGGCGGAGAGGGGGTGATCGGGCGCACATGTGCGCAGCGCTGTATGTAAAGAGGAGCAAGATAAATGAAGCCAGTTCCCCGTCAGTCGCGATGTACAAAGGATAACTTGATATATACAATGTCTAGATATGCAAAGCGCCGTGCAACAGAGTGCATTTCCAGGTTGTCTGGTACGTTCCGCCAGCCTCCCGCCCATTTTCTCGCCACCGCCCTACCGCGACCAAGTATTTTGCTATATTTTCGGGGTAAACATTGCCACTGCGTGGCGCAAGTGAGGGGATTTTGATTAAGGATTGGGAGATTTCGAGGTGGTTGAGTTTGATCTTTCGGTGGCATTGCGAAATTAGAATTATGCGCGTTGGCTGTTGGAATATTGTTCACTAGAGCTGTATAACATTGAGACTATGTATATTTTTTCAGACGAATAGAAACTGAGAAACGAAGATTTTTCACAGCGGTTGCATCGTTAATCTTGGTCCGTGCGATGCGTCACCGAGGAAATATGTTTCGAAATCTGTACGAAAAATTGTGCTAGCCGAATTTCGGTGTATAGCAGACGAAGTATTGATAATATTTCATATCGAGGAGCTGAGTCGGGAACGTGTATATCGAGCATTCTAGCTTGAATGGAGCATTTTTGGGTCTGAATTCAGTGTTTATTGCGAAGACCGAATACATATTTGTCTTGGGTGAAACATGTTTGGAACTTAGTATGAACGAAACTGTTCGATGTTGTTCGTGAATATTGAAACTACGTTTAATTAGGAACACTTGAATAAGGGTGAGTGTCCTAGGAGACTTCGCTTCGGGAAATTTAAAGGATAATTGAAGTCTTTGACGTCGCTACAGTAAAAAGCCGTAGGTACGATCAATCGCAGGACGAGTCATGCGACCGAGAAGCTTCGGGAAGTCCAATGGAAATGGAGGGGAAAATTGAAGACAGTCGAAAAGTAACTCCCGATATTGGGAAAAGCACAGGCACGACAGAATACATCTCTACTGGTAAACAAGATTGCCAGCCTCATTCTTAGCTCAAAAACAATGAATAGAATCCTCATTCATGAACAACAATGAAGGAAATCTGTTCAACGAAACGCTATAAACATTATTAATTAAATCGTCTTAACTAGACATCGAGCCTTTAAGCAAGATAAAAATGTTCTGAAATGATTCACAGACACAAGGTTCTGTAGAAATTGATTCCTTATTTTAAGTAGTTCAATAAATTGAAAATAAAGTTGTGGAATTTAAAAATCTCTATTTTATGCACTCGTATTTGTAATGAATACATTAATGCACTTTCCAGCTATTATGATGCAATTTTATTGGAGATTCTAAAATTTTAGCATTTGCTCGTCAATATTTATATCGTGTCTTCAAGTTGTACACGAAATATCTAACGGTTCGTTAAGTTCGCATAAATCAGTGTTACCCGATGACCAGTGACCGTTTGAATTTAATCTCGGTTCAGGAAATGCAGTATCAATTGCGACGTATTATGTACCTTTGACGCGGATTATTTGGGCCTGAATAGGAGAATCAGCTTGATTTGCATTGACACAGGTTATTCGTACACGGTGAATTATTAATGAGGAGTTAATTTGTCCAGGAGGGTACAATTCCTTCCAATATATTTTGTAATGAAATTACTGCTATAAATGCGAAAAGAGAATAATTTCATAGATGTTACACATTGTGTAAGTGAATACGGCGAGATGTACGAACCGGTAGAAAATGTTTAACATAATTATGACGTAGCAGATTAATTATTTCAATGCAAGTGTAAAATGAAATTCTTGTATGCTTATCAAATATCCCACGTAAATCCGTAAATGATTTACATTCATCATATTATAGCGGATCGTCATTATCCATGAATTATTTGATATAATCAAATTGTAAAACGATTTATTTTGAACGTACTGTGACATACTATTCATATTAAATGAGGTATCCGATGCAATCAGATGGTACAATGATTTATTCAAAGCGTATTGCAGAATGGACCATAATCGGATAATAAAATGATTTATATCGAGAACAATGTAAAATGGAATCTCAAGCAGGTTACACGATGATTTATTTCAGCCATAACGTGGAACGAAATCTTTAAAGGTAGTACTTTATGTAATCGAGACATGGAGTGTTTATCTCGAACAAGGTACGATAAAAGCTTTCGACCTTCCAATATACACCACCATTCGATAATATTTCATCAGACTGAATAATTTCACTTCATAAGGAAAAATGGAAATAAAAACACCCCGATATATTATTTCCCGATAATTAATTCTTTACCTGCTAGCTATTATTTAATAAATTGCCAAAAACCAAAAACGAAAAGCTAAGAATTTCTTGCTAATCGTTTAATCCTAAAAACGCATAAAAATTTAAATATTAACACGCCTGAGTTTTGTTTGAATATTATTCCAGAATAAAGAAATAATCTAACGAACATTAATTTATTAAAATACCAACGAAAAACCAATTTATTAAAATACTGTCAATGAAAACATTAGGCATCCAATAAACTCACTTCAATTTGCCAATATTATTTAACTACACGTGTCAATCACCGTCTGAAAAATACCCCATCGAAAACGTCAAATATTTCTCACCACCGAATCAAAAGATTATCGCTCACTTAACATACGACGAAACATCCTGAAATCTGCAGTGATGCTGAGAAACAAACACCTTACTTCCCACGAATTCAAAAATTACAGACCATTATCGTTAATAATGATTCACTACGAAATGACTGAGACAACACCACTTACCGGTGGTTCACACTCAGCGATCCCCAACAGCATCGCTCGCACTTTGCAACTCGTATCCAATCCCTTAGCCGAAATAATTCATGGTCCCGATGGCTTTCACTTCCAGCAATGTGCCGACGACCGTCACCACCGATCCGCGTAAACAAAGTCGCAGACACGCACATGCACAGCTCGTCGACGATGGGAACACGTTCCCGCGGATGCGTGCGCGACGACGTCTACTGACAGACTAAACGCGACCCGTCGCACGTTCACGGTTCCTGCGTGCCCCTACCTGTGCACACGCACACGCGAACGGATTACAGACGCACGCACAGTCACTGATCCAGATCCTTCCTTCCGTCTTATTGGTCACGGTCAATTAGTTGAATATACCGAAACTCCCCCGTGAAATTGGTCTCTACGCTAAACCATTAAATACCGCACCGAAACTCGACAGCCCGTTAGGTCACGTGGCATTAGAACACAGCGGCACAGCCATCTAACGAACGGATTCAACGCGAAAACTCCCGCACAATGGACAGCTTGTTAGTGTTCCTTCGGACCCGGTCCTGTGTGCCGTCACCTGCAATCGAGTTATATCCCTCTGGCAGCAGCCGCGCGTCAGCTGAGCTAGAATTCAAGGGGATGTCCGATAATCCCTATCAATGCTACACTGTCCATCGAACTTTCAAATGAACCACTGTCTCCTTCGCACTGTACCCTAATGAAAATCAAAGTATCGAACTGTCCAATACTGTAGACAAATTAACAGGCCGAAAGCATCAACGAGATCCTCTAAGTCCAGCAAGACTCCCAGATCCTCTAAATGATCCCTAGTGTCTAGCCAGACTGATCTGCTCCAAGCTCATTTCCCATCGTTTATCAGCCATGTGAACGGGTGGCAGTCCCGAAGAAACCCGCAGCGAGCATCCCGGTGCGCAAGGACCGGTGATCAACCCTCGTAAACGGGCTCCGGATCGACAGGCCCTGGTCCAGCCGCCAGTAGCAGCCCGAGTCGGTGCACGCTGGATCCCGTTGCTCCCGGTCGCATCGATACAATGGGAAAATTGGAGGTCAGTCGGTGACGTAGCGCGTGACGCGCAGGTGGCACGTGACACCGCGGCGGTGGTTCCGTGTGTATACGTGTGCACGACGTCAACGGACAGACGGACGGAAAGAGAGAGAGACAGAGACATAGACCACGTTACACCTGGCACCGGGGCAGCGCGGCGTGACGTTCTGTCCTGGTCTGTGTACCAGGGTGCTACTGGGGATCGCCGTATGCTTGTTTTTGCAGGGCAGCTAGAAGAGATTGGGGAGGGTGTCCCTCTAGCGTGTAACAGGGATGGAATAGCTGGCTCGGTAGAGATGGAGGGCGATAGGCGCGTAGGGGAAACAAAGAGTGGGAGAGATCGAGCGGTGGAGGGGGCCGGGCTAGATGGATAGGTGTGTAGAAGGGTGGAAAGAGGGACGAAAGAGAGACGTAGGGGTAGGAAACACGGGCAAGAATGAACTAACAGCAGAGCACGACACGGCGGTGGCTGAGGATAGCGAAGGAAGACATCGGTAGGGGCGGCAGTTCTATGAGAGAAGGGGACAGAGGACTCGTCCCCTTCGTCCAACACCCCCACCGAGGAACGCGGAGTGGTCCCGACGCCGCCGGTCCTGCGTTGCGACGGCGCAACGAGAGCAAGGATCTCCGTCCTTCTTCAGAGACGCGGCTTTCCTTCCCTCTTCGTGCCTACGCGACACCCCCGCCCGCTGCCCCGGTTCTACTAGGCAGCCGAACACACCGGCACAAACCCACCCACACCACCCTCGCCCCTGGAGCCTCCGCGACCGCGGATCGATCCGACGAGCGGACGGACGGACGGACGTACGGACGTTCGTTCGTTCGTTCGGCCGTCTGTAAACTCACCGCCCGCGGATTATGCCGGCATGTACACACGGCATCCACGCGCGCCAGACGCACACTGGAGGAATAAAGAACGTTGGGGTTTGTTGGACCGATCGTTGGACCGATCGTTTGACAGTTGGATGGAGGAAGTTCAAGGATGTTGGGTGTTGCAGCTGTGGATCGTTGGGTTGATTGTTCTTCGGGTGTCTTTGTTCGGATCTTGGAGTTTTGGCTTTTTTGGTTGAGTATTGCGTTTGCGTGACGTTGAGCATTGAAGATACTTGAACATTAGAAAGTAAGATTTAGTAGTGTAGTAATATTAGAGATCTTTCACGGAATATTTAACACCAGGGCTATCTAGTTACTGATACTCATTCGTTTTTTCTCTCTTCAAAATTTGTCAAATTTTTCAGTCGCTTGGATGCATTCTTATCAACACGCACACGAAGAAACTTGGAAGATGAAGAAAGCTGTAACTTTCAAATGTGTGACTATTCACTTGAATGGTCTGATAAAATATCCGATATTTCATATTACACGACCCAATTCTTCGTCACTGGTGGAGAGCTTCGCTTTCCTCGTCGCACACCCTACTCAATGACAGTCCCCGGAAGAGACGCGAACGGACACGCGTAGCTGATCCACAAAGAACCGGACCGCGTTATCGCAGGCTCGCACGCGGAAAAGTCAACCGGTAGATCTTGTCCAAGCACTCGGTTAGGGGACGACTCGCGCGATTACCAGCGCGAAGGCGAGAAAGTAATGAGATTCGGGGTGGGTCGAGGGAGACGTGGGAATCTTGTTGTTTGCGTTTGTTTTTGAGAAGGATGGTTCTCTTATTTCGTTTCTCTCTTTCGCCTCTCTTGGTAGGCGTACTCTGAGGGTTTGTAATTTGAAATTATCACGCGCTTTTGTCTTTGTACAGAAATGTTTGTTTCGCGGGAGACGTAGGGGATGTTGGACGTTGAATTGCAGATGATGTTCCGCGTGCATGCACTTAATGGGGTTTTGTAAATAACTTTGGAAACGATTCTAAAGTCGTTAATTAAGAAAGTATTATATAATATTCTATTTTACAAACTCCAGGGAACACTCTTTAAATATTCCTCGACAAGTTTTTGTCATCCGATAGGAAAGGTAGACACCCAGGATTATCGCCGGAATAAGATATTCTCACCTGCACGGTAATATTTTTCACACATGCATAATCACACGATCCAGCAAGTGAATATACAGTGGTTTAAGTAATTCGTGCGAGGACTGTACCAGACTTGTACCCGTAATTACAGTCACGTGTAAGTAGTTAAGCTTCGAAGTTACGGATCCTGCGCGACACTTTGCTCCTGAATACAGACACGCGCGCGCGCGCGAAGGCGAGACAAAGGATACGTTGCAAGCAAAAACATAGATGTAGTTACCGACTCAAGATTTATCGTAACAGGGAACTGTATGGGAACTCCATTAAAAAACTTTTACTCGAGTTTGCCACGGTGTCTGATCTCCGTTGAACGCTCGCTGTCGCGTTCCAGGTAGAAGCTTCCGGTTGACTCTGAATGAACGAAAACACGCCGGTGTTATCGTTTCGCGAAAGAAATTCTAGGAGTATACCCGAAGGAAACTTCGACGCACCTGCCGACAATGGATAGTCTTCTTTAATGCTTAAGCAAATAATGGAGAAGATTTTAAAATAAACACGTTATTCCGATAATAAGGTAAATTGGAAATTCCTCGAATCTACAAAGATAAATCTTCTAACGCAAGTGGTAAACTTTAGTTACATACATCTAAAAATTATCGGGGCAAAAATCATAAGATACATCATCCAAACCCACAATCGAATAAGAACAAATATACGACTCAAAAAAATAAAACCACCAACTCTTAATTCCCATTTTTCAAAGATTCCATAAATCAAACATACAACGAGCCCATAAAATTGAAATTCAAATATTACCATTCTCATTCTCCAAATCTATAAACAACTTATAATCAATCTTTCGCCCAACTATTACAACTTTCCATATACCATCAAAATTCTCTAAATAAAATGAAAACTTCTTCGCTTATTTCCATTCCCGACGACCAAAAAGAGAGTACAAGTTTCGAAAAAACGGTAGAGGCGTCGCGCGACGATAACCGCGAAACCGTTCCGGGCATCGATGGCGGCATGCAAATGAGCGGATTTATCCGCGGCCGATATAGTCACGCGCAGCGCTCTAAATCTCAGACGCCTAGGGCTCATGTTTTACGTGTGCTGCTTGAAAGTTCCTTACGCGCCTCACGGATAGAGATCCCAACTCGCGGCTGCGTAACTGCATCGCGGCGCGATACGTGCGCGCCGATCCCGCGGTTTCCCGTCCACCGAGTTCGAATCCTGCTGCGAGCTAGCAATCTCGCCCAACCCCTGTACGAGCCGTGCATACGGTTCCCTCCGTAACGTCTCCCTTGTCCCTAGACGTGATCCCACGCTGCTTCCCGAGGCTCAATGAACATTCCGAAGGGAACCTATACGCGCGACAAGTCGCATTCGTGTCCTATACATCGCAAAGTTTCGTTTTCATCATACGCTGGAACATAGATTTTTGTTGCTGGGTATCATTCGCGAACTTTTATGGCATTGTCGTAACAGCTGTTGATTTTATTGATATTTGTAATAGATTATGTAGATAACATTGCTGTGATTTCCCGAGAGGATTTTTTGTAATAAGTTTATATATAAAATATACAAACTATAAAATTGTAATATAGTATCTATGGTTTGTACCTTTAATGATAAGGGTTAATTGTTGATGATTGTGATATTATATTGTAATTGTTTGAATCTTTGAAATCTGTCTTGAAATATACAGTATTGAAATATATCGGATAATATATTATATTGAAAGTTGTTAAGAACAGGTTGAAATAATAGAAAAACCTCCCTTCAGCTTTCGCTATCCAATCATGTCATCCATGCCGCAGTAACCTATAACAAGAGACACAACGACAAAGGAATACAATTCCTTAACACTGTAATTACCAGCGGAGCGCGATGGTAAAACCAAATCGATCGCGCCAAAATAAATCGCTACCAGCCCACTGATTACGCTGTACCAACGAGATTTTGCGGTTCACGGACCCCGCGCTGGAATTACAGACAGCTTCCCGGCTAACAATGTGTTATTCAAACTCACTGGCCGCGGCCATCATTAAACTATCGTTTCCAAACTTAGTTTCCAGTGGGCTCCCGGCGGTGGAAGGGGTTGCGCAATTTCGGGAGGCCGCGTCGGATCAAATCTGCCGCTCAAACGTGGCCTGTTCACGCGTAATTTCGCGGTCATGGACATGTGGTAAGTTTCTGCGTAACAGCATTAATACGCATGGAGTCTCGCTAAGGTCCACTACACACTATCGATCCGCTTTCAATCCGTTCACGATCCGCTTGGAATTCTTTTCTTGTGTATTGTCTTCCATTAACGAAGATAGACCGAGGTCGAACCGAGATTGCACGGCACATATTGTATGAATACGCATTTTGCGTACTTTTTCATTATTATATGCCACTTCAATATCGTGGGTTTGTATTTCGATGATTGCAAATGCGCGAATGTTCGATGGATGGATGTATTATACGCATCTCGCGTTAGCTCCATCGACCGTCAAGCTAAAAATGGACAGGACCAAGGAGACTTCCACTCACGATGCTCGGGCCGCCTCGACTTTCGACGCATGTTCATTATTTTCGCGCGGCAATAATGTGGTATTAATAAAAATAATTATGTTTCATTTTAAGAAATCATGGGAATAGTTAATCGAATAAGATACAAATAAATAGAAACGATATAGCTCTCAGTGTACAGATCTTCTATCTTCCAAAGCTAACGCGACTCTCTTAAAATCATTCATCATCAGATAAAAATCATTCTCTCCCTCATAAGCATTCTTCTCAGTTGTACTTCCAACAAACTTTCAACCACACCCTACTCTTACCACCACGAACTCATCATCCCCGCTGACGGACGCACCGCTCGGGAAAATTCGCCAACCCTTGGGCCTGGTCTTCATCAGTCCCTTTCTCTTTTATGGTCCTCTTCCTGTCTTCCAAAATACTCGCTGTCCTACTGTCTTAAAACTACAATACTACAATAACAAAGGACGGAAGCGTCTGATCAGTCAGTTTTCATCTTTTCTTATCTCATTTTTGATACGAATTTGTTATCCGTCAATATGGTTACACGTAGCCAATAAAATTAGAAACAAGACTGTAGATAAAGAATATATCGCGCCTCTGTCTCGGAAACTTTAGTTTTATATAGTTATGCTAACGATGGTGTAATATATATGTTAAATATCTGTACATAGCAATAGTATTG